CATGCCCCAAATTCAATTGCAAAATAATTTTATAGAGAAAAAATTAAACATAAAACAATTCTAAGCTGTAGAATTAACATCTGAGAAACTTTATTCAGATCGGATGGCTGAGAACACCACATACGCTTAATGTGGGTGAGATCACATGTAAAACCTTCTTTGCTCGGTTTGTTTGAGTAGTTGATATGAAAGAGTGGTTGTGGGCTTTGTAGCTTTTTAAGGTTAATGCAGGTTATCTTACATGAGCCTTTCAGTTGGAGAAAACAATCACCAAGTTCATGGGATATTTATGTGAGAAGACGATATGTGCAATGTATGATCTAGTATTGCACTCACGATTAAGCAATGTTTGGAGAAACGGTGATTCAGATTGTAACTGATGGATTCGGATTGGGAACTGGCTGAGCCGGTTTGTTTCTTGTAAAATGTCGAGAACTAGCCACTTCTATCAATTAGAATTGCTCTCACTTTTTATTTTTAAATTTTTTTCCATTTTTTTGTTCTTTAATTAATTATTGGCATCATTGACCCGGATTGCAGATCCGCTGATTGGGACCAGTTTTCTGAATGAGGATCTGGGTAACTGATCAGCTTTTTTAAACCTTGTAATTAAGCAACAAATATTCATGATAAATCAAAGAAATTAGGACTGAGTGAAATAGGAATCCAAACCTCTACATAGAAAAGATTTTAAATGATGAATTTTAGGCTTACTTTACGATGATATTAATAGATACTTCTCATATTTGGTATTCACCATTGTTCATGGACTCAACGGAGTAACTCGACCTCGGCAAACTGCCGTGGCAAGTTTCCCCCATAAAAACTCTTAAAAATCAATAATTTTGTTAAAAAATCATTAATACATAATTTAGAATGTTTCTATATGATTTTTAGTTTTTTATGATGATTTGGGAACTTGCTTGTTATGTGCTCTAATTTCCTTTTCTTTTCTTTTTGAAATATTTCAAATACAAATTAATTATTTCAACCATCCATTTTTTATATATTTTATTCAATTTTCAAAGGCATCATCATCATATCTTTTTTTTCCAATTAATTGGAGTCGGCTAACTTTTAAAGACTTCATTATTATAGTTTTTGCCATTTATAGTTATTTTCGACAATTTCTTACAATAATTTTTGTTTTATATTTTTTGGGTTTTTGGGACCTCCATTGTTCTTATGCAGTCGAATCCACATTGCTGTTTTTAGTCGTACGTTTGATATTATCATCTACATTTAATCAAGATCTTGGTTTATTAAATTGAAGGTGATGTAATTATAGGTAATAGATGGCCATGGTGTTGGCGAGGTGGTGAAATCAGAACGCATAGTACAATTAGGGTCACATGGCTACAGGTCCCTTGAGATGCCTAGAGTATAGGATCATTCCTAGTGGAGAAACTTTGCAAAAGATCGAATCCAAAGAATTGCCATCGTCACACAAGTCATGTTTTTGGTTGTTAGTCTTTATTACTTATTAATTTCTACTTTTATTATTATTAAGCTTACGTTCCATATACTTTGTCTTAGTCTAGCTAATTTTAAAACCTTTAGATTCTAGAGCATCCTTTCAAATTCCAACTTTGTATTGACACCCTTCGGGTCTCATTATCCGCAAACAACATACACTAGTTAGCATTGACACCTTATATAAACCTATTGTAGGTGTTAAGTCAGCCATAACTAAGACAAAAGGCGTGGACTTAACAGTGACACCTGATGTAAACATATTGTTACTAAAAACTCACTTGTCACTCTACTAATTGTTTGCACACTAGTTAGCTTCATAACCTTATATAAATATTTTTCTATAGATTAACTTTAATATTAAATCCTCTATGCCAAGGTAGACAGTGTTAAGGAAAGTATATATTATCTACAAAATTAATATGCAAGATATATATTATAATCAATATATATAAGAAGGGTAGGCGTAGTATCTTATATTTTAAGATAAGTTTAAGAGTGTTTAAGTTCTTTTGATTTCTTTCAATTTTTATCACCTGTCATTTGTCTATATAAAACAAGTTTCTATATTCATAATTAATGGATATAGAGAGTCTACGTGAAACAAAGGGGATGCACCACCCAAGGGGTATTAAAGTTGAATTTTGCTTAGGGTAACCAAGGTAATACATGTCATAGTCAGCGATTCTCCATTTAAAACAAGATTTTTTTAACAAATCTTTGATATTTTGAAATCCATTAAAAGCTCTAAGGTTTTCAAAAGATTTAAAAAAAAAATCATGTTTTTTTTATGAAACTGATATAAATCTATATTTTTATCTTGTTTCAAAAAATCTTTTTCAAAAAGACTTCTTCTCTATAACTTTATTTCTCCATTATATTAATATTATTGAATTTTAATTTAAAGATAAGCACGTTAGTCATGGGAGTAAATCAAGAATGTGGATTTAACAAAAATAGCCATCAAAATTTCACCAATAAGTTCCCTTAAAAAATGCACGAAAAAATAATATATTCCTTAAAAAATAAGTTATCAAAACAATTATATATCTCAAAATAACATGTAAAGCTAGAAGAAGAGTAACCCAATAAAATAAAATAAAATTCTTTAAACCTAGAGCATCCTTATCAAGAGTAAGCAAGAGATTCAATTTAGGTAGCTGAGAATTTAGTATGGGATTTGAATTTGCTTGAGCATTTTGTTGTTTTATTTATATATAAAGAAGCTTGACTAATCTCATGTTTCTACTTTTTATTTTTATTTTATTGGTGCATGCAACATAGCATTTTAGATTTTATTGTTAGATTTATTGAAAGTTTAAACAATAAATTATCAAATATTACTCTAATGATATTGGGTAAGGCCATAAAATTATTGTTTAATGGCGTTAGTGTATCTATACGGTAATTGCAAATCATAATCCTATATTATGTCATCTTTACATATCCAATTTTTTCATTTTATTTTTTTATAGCCAAATCTGAAATATTGGTGATTATGTAGCTTCCTTATTTTTTGGTGATCCGTATTTTTTACCGGATTTTTCCTCCAATTTTTTTGAAATAAAACTGATTTATTACCAATATTTTGGCTCACTAATATATTATTAGTAGCCAACTTGCTAACCATGATCCATGTATAGCCATAAAATGGGGGGTGCTCATGGGCCTTTATCTTGTCCTTCTCAGGCACCTTCATTCCTTTAAATGAGGCTAGATGTTATTAGGATGAGATTATATATAATGAGACCATTTGCCTTTGATACAGGGTGGTCGCAATTGCTTACAACTATTTGATGTGAAATTTGATAATTTGGGTTTGTCATAAAGTTCGTAAAAATTTATTTTGAAATTTACGCTTGGTCAATAAAATAAATGCAACTGCCTAATTTCCCACCCAATGGGAAGAATATCAAACTTAATAGCAAATCAAAGGTTGTAATTTTCAAAATTAAAAGAAAAAATATTACATCCATTAAACAAATGGATTTGAATGAAGAGTTTTTTTTTGAAAAAATTAATTCATTCTTGGAGGTGGTTCACCTCATAGGTAGTCAATTTAATGAGCTGAAATTCAAAAAAAATTTAATTATGACCACCTTGTACCAAAAATAAATAGATTTATTCTATGCTTTTCCAAACCACTATTTCTCAAAAGGAAACTTGAAAAATGCCATCCAATGGAGTTGTGGGAGCACCGGTTGACAATTATGACCTACTGTAGATAAAATTAGAGTTCCCCTTCACCATGTTTACTGGGAAGAGTTCCCTTCGTGGGGAGTGCAGAATAGTTAGCGGAAAACTTCTATTTTGTATAGGTACCTAATCAATAAAATACTTTTAAATTTAAAATTAAATAAAAAAAGTCAATAATCATGAGTCAGTATTTGAATTTTGAAAGCATATTAGTTTAGTTTTTAAAAAAATGATTTTTTTTAAGAATAATAATCATTTTAGGGTGGGCAATGAGCTGGGCGGAAGGTTAGGCCTTGAAAAAACTAGAGCTTGAGCCACAAATGTGGCTCAAGGACCAAGCCTAAGCCAAGGCCATTACAGACCCCGGCCCTGCCCTAGTTAGGCCTTATTTTTTCCTTCTTCTTCTTTTTTTACTTGTTGTTTTTGTTCGGGCCTAGGCCTCTGGCGCGACCCAACCCAACCCCATATCATGTTGACAACTCTAATGAGATTTTGAAAATAATAGCTATTTTTCCATTAATAGGAACTATGAGACCATTGTTTCGGTTAATAGAACTTTGAGCCCATGTCACACGTGCAACAAAACTTTATATATGAAAATAAAGGGTGTGGTTTCTATATGGTTGCAATCTTAAACAATCCAATTAAGGTGTACCTTAAAATTTTGTTTTTAAATTCTTAGTATTATCTTAAAATTTATTTTCATATCTAATTAGAAAATTTTAAATTTAAAAAATGGTTAAAATCAAGTACATCTATAAATATATAAAAATCTTGAAAATCGATGGTCTAGATAATGTGTTGCAAGATGTACTATTTTCGGTACTCAAAAACTTTTTTTATTCATATTCATACATCTCGATGCCGAGATGATCGATTAGCCAGTTTTTTCAACATTAAAACAACATTTTTGATAGATTTCTGAGGTGCATGTGTGATTCTACATTTTAAGGTTGCAACCTTAAATAAACTTTTCTCTAAAATAAAATAATAGTAGATAGTGTTTACCCCCTTATCAAGGACGTCACTAGTAAGGGTAGCAACACACCGGGTCCGGGCCGGGCAAGTCTTGGCCCCGAACGTGTCTGTATAAGGCCGGCTGGCCCGGGCTAGGCTGGGCTAAAAGGATAAAAAGTAACAAAAAGAAAAAGAAAAAAGAAAAAAAGGGCCTAACCGGGCCCACACTGGCCCTAGCGGAGCCCACAGGCCACATTTTGTGGCCCGGGCTTTAGCTTTTAGGGTCGGGCAGACCTGGCAGCCCATTGTACCTCCCTCTTGCATGCGTGCTATTAATATCTTTTTCATTTTCATTTTGAATTTGCTAGCTCTTTGCAAATTCTCCACATGCTCATATGATGCTCAAACTCCAACACCACCTTCTCAAACAAATCCACGCCCAATTTCTCAGAACCCATCTCTCTCACCCCACGACATTCACCTTCAACACCATTATCAAAAAACAAGCTCAATCCAATTCACCCACCATCGCCATTCTTTGCTATAACGCCATGCTGCATGGCGGCTTCGCCCCCAATAAATACACGTTTCCCCCTCTTATAAACGCCTGCTCACACCACCTCTCTCCTCTTGACCTTGGTAGGCAGGCCCATGCTCATGTAATTGCAAATGGGTTTGGTTCATTCGATGGTTTTATACAGAGTGCATTGATTCAAATGTACGCTTTGGGCCTTGACATGGGCTCGGCTGGAAAGCTTTTCGATGCCACTTTAGAAAGAGAAAGAGATGTGGTGGTTTGGACTGCTATGGTTGATGGGTACACCAGGGGTGGTGATGTTGAATGGGCATTGAGAGTGTTTGATGAGATGCCTCAAAGGAATGTCGTGTCGTGGAGTGCTATAATAGCAGGTTGTGTGAGGAGTAGCATGTTTAAGGAGGCCTTGGAGCTGTTTCAAGATATGCAGGTCTCTCTCTCTCTCTCTCTCTCTCTCTCTTCATTTGCATCAGTGCAGGCGACCTAATTTTTGCTGCAATACCACATGTATTTCACAAATTTTTGAGCTGTGCTTATGACAACGTACAAGTCACAGAATTGACGTCAAAGGAGTTCTTGGCAACAAGAAATGAACCAAAGAAAAAAAAAAGACATCCATAAATATTTGAATTATTCAGTGTGGTACATGACTTAGGCCAAATCAGTTCTTGGAATCAAGAAATGAAAACAAATGCTCTTTTAAAAAAATCTTAAATCAACCAAATTTGAACCTCTAGTTGGGACGCAATGTAAATGTATGAGGTGAAATGCGTTCATTGTAACCAAAAAGAGGGAATCCAACTTTTTTAAGGGATTGTTACTATGAGAACAGTTTTCGAAATTTTGTTTTGAATTTTGAATCTAGTCAATAACATATTGGCAACCACCCGATTTAAAATCTAAAAAACAAAAGCAATTGTGACCTTATGCTAAAAGTAATGGTCTCTTTTTATATTTCTCCTTTTCTAGAAGGGGAAAAGGGAGAAGAAAATACTTACCCAAAAAGTTTTGAACGCTTTTAGTGTGGTGCAGGTTACAAGAATGATCCCAAATGAGTCCATAATGGTGAGTGTGCTCACAGCTTGTGGGCATTTGGGTGCTCTCAGTCAAGGCCTATGGATCCATGCCTATATCAAAAAGAGCAACCTCCCTCTAAATGTGATCCTTGGAACCGCGCTTGTTAGCATGTACACCAAATGTGGGTGCATAGACCAGGCACTAAACATATTCAGAAAGATTGATAACAAGGATGTAAAATGCTGGAATTCCATGATCTCGGGTCTCGCCACCAATGGAGATGCACACGGATCAGTCAATCTCTTCTATGAAATGCGGAAGGAAATAAATATAAAACCAAATGAGATCACTTTTGTAGCCGTATTAACAGCATGTACACATGCTGGTTTGGTAAAAGAGGGCTATGGATTATTTGATTTAATGGCCAATTCCTACAAGATTGAGCCTAAGCTTGAGCACTATGCATGCATGGTTGATCTTCTAGGCCGTGCAGGCCGATTAGATGAGGCTTTGAGCCTAGTTGAATCGATGCCCATGAAAGGAGATATCAATATATGGGGTGCTTTATTGGGCGCTTGTAGACTTCAGGGAAATGTAGATGTAGCTGATCGGGTAGGGAACTTTTTGATAGAATCGGGTAGTACCCATTGTGGGTCCTATGTTCTCTTGTCAAATATATACAATGGGGCCGGCCGCCATGAAGATGCGAGAAGGGTGAGAACGTTGATTGTAGAAAGAGGGTTGAGCAAGACACCAGGGTGTAGCTCAATTGAGGTTGATGGGAATGTTGAGGAGTTTCTGGCAGGTGGCTTTTCGCATCCAAAGGGAAGAGAGATTTTCAATACTCTTGCATCAGTCACAAGAGTGTTGCAGATGGAGGGTGGTTATGTTCCACAGAGGTCGCAGCTTCAAATGGATGGCCTCGATCAGGAAGATATGGCTTTAGAGTCATAGGAATAGGATGAGGAATGGGAGTGAAATGATTCTTACAGAGTGAGAAGTTCTCTCCCAACTGCGAAAACCAAGACCAAGACCACAAGTTCACCTCTTTCTCAATTCAGTACATCTTTCAATATGGCAGGACCATTAAAGAATGGGTAAAATGACCCATTGGAAGTAGAGAAACATTCATGAACCTCTACCTCCATTCCATTCCTTGATCAACAAGGGCATTCTTCTCCAACCGATGGGAGAAAGAAATAATCAGAACCAAAATCAATATAACACATTTTTCTTCTCTCCTTGTCCATATGTAACGTGGTTTATATGTCGTCGAAATCAATGAAGAGATTTATTAATGAGAAGAAAAAAAATGACATCACTTTGCATTACCAATCTACAAAACATGTACATAAGTAATATATGGCTGTTAAATGAGATGAAGAAGACCCAATGCACTATATTTCGCATGAGTCAGATTGACCAAAGATTGTATAACGATTATTTGCTATGTTGTCATACACTGCATCTCTCATGAACCTGCAAGAGGAGATATACGAGTTTGGTGAGTTTGTTCCGCCCCATCCTGCTCTAATCCACTTGAATAGGCATGTGTGCAGTCGTGCACATCAGACATGTGCCCACATACATACACATGCAAGCAGAGATAGAGAGAGAGAAAGAGAGAGAGAGAGAAAGAGAGAGAGAGAGAGAGATGCTCACAGAGGCATTAATTGTAAGAACAGCGCCATCTGAGGGAAGGGAACATCCATATATTCCATTATCCTTAGTACTGCCTCTGATTTGATGTATGATCTACAAAACACAGGATAATCCAGATGAAGGAGAGAGGCAAACGGAAAGATGTTCCATTGTCTTGTTCAAATCACTACAATTCAATATCAAAGGAGCCTACATCAAATGTAGCTCGCTCTTTCTTTCTCTCTCTCTCTCTCTCTCTCTCTCAAGTACCCTGTATTGTTTTAAGTTTAAAATTTTCCCAAGAGAATTCCACTCACCTATCTTTCTCAACAAGTACCACACTGGAAATATCATCTGGGGTTCTTCCAGATCTTTGCAGTAGTTTCCTTCCAGATTCACTCTGGAGTGCTTCAAACCTCATTTTCCTGTCAAAATTATAAATTCATGTTAAAGCAATTTAGAAGATACAGATACAAGTAGGCCAGGAAAGTACATAATGATGCAGAGACAGCATTATTGACATTTTAATCAGCACCCTTTTCTTTTGTAAACTGGGAGATCAAAACCAGAATTCAGAGATGGCACCAGTTTTGATGGAATCCCATTCAATTCAAACAGGTTGCTTTGCTCTGATTCAATGGCAACAAGACCACAGCCATCCCAATGAGGCTCTTCATTTTAATTGAAAGACATTTAAACTTCTAAACGTACAAAACCCTAGAAATATGAAAACAATTGCTTGAAAAGAATGGTTACTTTGGCAGACTGAGTCATTCATCTGGTCCAGGACAAATACCTGGATTGCATAAATAGAAATAGCCCTTAGTTCCCACTTTATAATTCAGTACCTATGTCAACAACATCATCAAAACCCTCTTTGGGCATTAAGAATGGTAAAAATGATCAAAGGTTTGCAAGGAAGATATGTCTTATATAAAGATTCCTAGGGGGGAAAAAGAGATGTGTAACTACATGTGCTGTTTGAAAATCATAGGCAAGTGAACAAACCATTTACTCCACCCACTACATGTGATAAGTTATTAGCTTAACCCTTGATCTTGTATAGCCTATTAGCAAGTTCACCAGTCAGCATGAAGTGCTTAGACACATACTTGATTTCATTGAGTTATTGAACCTAGATGTGCTTAAAATTGAAGGCACAAGGAGATCTTCATCTCTTCTATGGCAAAAAGAGCCAACATACTATCCTAGGAATGATTATTTTTTCAATGTAATTTTATAAATTAGTCTCATCTCATAAATCTTAGGACTAATAATTGATTAGTGGCTACTTGCAGTTGAGTGAAAATTTGTTCTTATTCGTAGCCGAACATGTAGTGAACTTCGCCTTGCTGACGAACACTACAGAAAGGAAAGTTCAGAGAATATGAGGTTCATTATGCTGGTATATATGCTCAACATATTTAATTGATGAGGAGAATTTAAGGAAAATTATTTTATTAGGAATTTAACCTTGGCATATTATGGGTCTTTTTGATATTTTTAAATAACTCTTTGGCAACTTTCCTTTTGTAGAATGGGGGACCCCAAGTTGACAGGTTCTATCAACTAAGAAAATATGCATGGGGTAGAAGAAATTGGTTGTGGACACTCAGGCACCTTCGTATGAGTTAACTGGGATAGATAGAAGACCCAACATAGATCCAACTGGTAATGATCCTAATGTGGAGCTATATGAAGAAGTAGCAATGGTAAACCTAAATTTACTCTGAAAAATATGCAGACTTACTAATATTCAACTTCCGTCTTGGTGATTGGTAATCAGCAAAGAGTCATTCACCAAAGGGATTGTAAAATTATTCACTAACAGGGTTGTACATAGAGTAGATACACTCATAAATAGATAAAAATAGATTTAAAAATCATTTAGACAGGCACAATGCATGGCTATGTAGAAAATTTGAAGACTAACCCGCTGCGATCAAATTCACGAACGAACCTCACACCACCATTGCATAAGTTGCATACACCTATGATGAAAGGACTGTCAAGATGGGTGTCCTTAACAGAAATTTTATCAAACTTACAAAAAGAACAGCATATAAATTCGAACTCACCATGCCTTCACAATATGTTAAGCAATAGTCAACTTACAAATAAGTTCTACACTCTATAAAGACGAAGTTCTAGTCTTTTAAGAAAGCAGCTGTTCTAGATAAAACAAATACATGAACACATAATAGGAAAACTAATAAGTAAACAGTAAAGGTTTTTGAGGTTCATATCTTGACGTCAAGAGCAAATTGCAGAATAATCAACGAGCAATATCTATCATGCTTCTTTGAGCATCCATGCTAAAACACCATCATCTTTTTATGAATATTGCTTCAGCACAATGCTTCAAACCGTTAAGAAAGAAAAACCATATCAAGCGAGTTAGTGATTCATGGTTCCCAATCTGCAGTTTGCACAATAACACCTATTGTGAACTGTGTCGCAATCAGGTTTAGCAATTTGTTTGATGGTGAACAGTATAACACAACAAACAATTTCTCGATGCATAATAAAATAACAGTATGCGTCCGATGATTTGTTACCTACATGTTGATTTCACAACCACTTCAGCATTTACACTTGATCATAATGTTGAAATAGGCTCCTAAAACTTTAGGTTCTTGTACATTCATACTGATCACTTTTTCTCACACATGGATGAGGAAAAGCAGAGAAAAAAAAAGAGAGAAAAGCACATTGAATGTTTGGGTGAAGCCATAAAATTCAAAGCATCAAAAAGCTAAAACCACAGATGAAACCCCAAAACCGACAAAAACAAAGGATTTGATAAAGAACACTGTAAAATTTAGAATTGCCATGCTGTGGCAAAGACCTCAAATTTCAAATCGATGTAGTAAATTGGATGAACATATAAAGAATGGAAGGTGAGGGACTTGAAGCAAATAGAAATTCACCATTGACATAATTGTGTCTTAAGAGTCTAATCCTTTCTGTCATCAGACAGGAGTGAACCCGTATTGGCAATGGTGGAGGTTGATTAAATGTAATTGATGGAAGATGTAAATAACCCTGATTGACAGCTATCCAAATAATTATTTGTAGGAATTAGAAGAAACAGGACTTTGTTTCAAGGGAAGAATGTGCATGCCGTCAGATATCATGTGATTTTCAGTAAATCACCTTGTATTTGCGGAGCTATCTCATTCAACAGACACTGATACGAATTGCAGACTTTTAGAAATGGAGTGAAGAAGTCAGGGAATTAGTAGTGCATGCAAATTAACTAATAAATGTGTTAATAACATCAGTCTCTTAGGCACGTTAGAGTCCCATTGCTATCAATAAATGAATCTGAATTCAAAATAATCAAGGAATAGTAGAAAATGCTAAATGGTGGTTTACGAAAAATACGAGCCAAAATGATCCTAGCCAAAGAGGCTGTATCTGGAGTTTCATGCTCTCAAAAAGGATTTCATGGTGGTCCAAAGTTGTACTATGATTAAGTTCCAAGGAGTTCATCTTTCTACTTAGAGATATTTTTGAGAACCAAGGGCATACATCGCAATGGAATCCAATTGGAAATTAGAAAGGAAAAACATACTCAAAGTAAAGATGGTAAAAAAGGTTTTGCTTTGGAAAATGAAATTGGTAAGCAATGGATATATAGATAAATAGAGGACGGCAAGCATGTTGCAAGCATGTTGAAGGCAGCCTATCAGTTTTAACAAGTTAAGATATGGGATAAGAAAATATAGAGAAATCAAAGTGAGTAATGTATGTGCCTCAAGTACTGCCAACTTGATATATTGAAAAGATGGGTCTTTGGCCAAAGGTAAGAGGGCTTGAATCCAATTGAGTATTTTGCACACTGAAAATCTCAACGCTGAACACCAAGATAGCAATGAATATTAAAGACTATAGAGGCAACTAGACAAAAGGGAGGATAAGAATCCAAGTTCTATTAAAATAGGTAGTAATTTCACAAGAGAGAAAGTTCATGGAACTGGTTAAGCCCCTATTTTCTTTCTTTATCTGTTAACACCAGTGACCAGACTGCAAGTCACAAGGACTTCATGAACTATCTATCGTGAATTCCTGATTGAAAACACGTATACTTGTTTGTGGCATTTGCTACACTGAAGAAGAACAAACGAAGTTAACTATGAATACATTATTCAAAAGTGGGTATTAATAATTTTAGTAAAAAAGGAACCCAACTGTGAACCTGCTAATTCTTTCAACAACTGAAGTCCATTTTGTCCATCCCTGAGTAAAATCCCAAATGAAGTTTTGATTCAGAAGCAGAATCCCCAAGTGAGAAAACAATTCAAAACTCTTAAAACAAGAAATTACAAGGAATTTATGATAATGGCAGTAAAATGCATAATCCAAGAGGAAGATGCAGAAAATTAGGAAATTTGAATAGAACGACTCACCATCAAATAACATGATGGGCCTCATGTCATCAGAAAACAAATGGGAGGTAGCCTCCTTCCAGTCTATTACAGTTTTGGAAGATGGAGAAGAAACAGCCATGAGAGGAGAGAGAGTGAGGTAACGACTGGTTTTCTCCCGCACCAATTTGGGTTTTTGGAGGTTGTGGAATTGCAGCCCAGCATATTGCGTGTAAAGGAGGTTGGCCATACGAAAACAGTCGGGATTTACAGGTTTTTCAATGGCAATTTTTAATGGCTATTTATCCTAATCAGGCATTTTGAAAGGCAGGGGTCTCGGCATGATCGTTTGTCTGGTGAAAATGGCACGCACGCACGCACGCACGCACGCAGAGTAAAGCTACACGTAAACGACAGCAGCACCACTCAGCAGCTCGTGCGCGCACCCCTCTTTCGCTCTCTCTAACGACAATCCCCCCTCTCTCTCTTAAAACTCACCCATTATTCATCTTCCGTCTCGCTCTCTAAAGAGAATCTTCCCCTCTCTCTCTCTCTTAAAAATGACATAGCCCCCATTTATCTCAGGGCTTCACTCGCCCCTCACCCATACACGAATAAATGCCAAGTCTCGCCGCTACCACATCATCATCTCTTGGGTACTTGTAGGGGTAGTAATGGGTGGGTGGCAATGGATCGGGTCGGGTCAAGGTCGGGTCGAACTGGACTTAGACCGTATCAAGACTCAACTTAGGTCTAACGTTTTGGAATTGGACCCGACCTATAGGGTCAAAAACTTCGGCCCGATTCAACCCAATTTAGGTCCATGTCTAGAACCTACCAATGCCTATAGGAGATTTTGAATAGTGTTTCGTCCCGCTATTGACATGTTATGTCCATGGCGGTTTATTGAACGGAGCCGCAACGGACAGCGCGTGGTCCGTAGGGGTTTTCGCGTGTTTTTTTAACGCAATGAGCCTAGTATGTCCATTTGGTACTACAACGGACCTGCGGCATAGTAGGTCCGCTGCGGTCTTCTAATCCATGCCATCTGAAAAAATCGGACGGCACCAAGCTTCTGGGCAAAAACATTGTTCATTTTCACCCATAGGCGTTGCATAGTAGCTTCATCGCACTGTCACAATTGTCCGGTAGTGTTTCAATTTTTATTTTTATTTTTAGTGTTTCAATTTTTATTTTTATTTTTACAAATTCACATTACTTGAAATTTGCAGTGTGGGTACATCTTAGTAAAAAGCACCTGATAAAAATATATAAATAATAATAATTCGTAAAATATAAATTGACCAAAATACCCCCATAAATTTTTGGAGGTATTTTTGTCAATTTATATTTTGTAAATTATTTTTTTCATATTTTTATTAGGTGCGTCTCACTAAGATGTACATGCTTTAAATTTCAGATCATTCAGATTAGTAAAAACAAAATGAAAATTGAAAAAGTACCAGACAATTGTGACCGTGCGAAGAAGTTTGGATGGTGATGAAGGTAGGCGAAATCACTGTTCATTTTCTCCTATAGGGGTTTTATAGAATATTCCTATATATACATAAATTTACAGGGGTATTTTAATCAATTTATATTTTACGAATAATTTTTTTCATATTTTTATTAGGTGTGCCTCACTAAGATGTATACACGCTCCAAATTTCAAGTAATTTGAATTTGTAGAAAAAAAAATAAAAATTAAAACACTACCAGACAACTGTGACCATGTGATGAAGTTTAGATAGTGATGAGGGTAGGCAAAATCACTGTTTATTTTTACCTATAGGCATTGGGAAGAGTTTTCTAATATATAAATATAGGGAAAAGTTTATATAATGTTGCAACTTTAAAATGTAGAACTACGGATGCACCTCAAAATTCCATCGGAAAATATTATTTTCATGTTTAAAAACCCTCTAATTGAGCATATGGAGATGAATTATTGTGAGAGAAAAAAAGATTTTGAGTCCCATAAATAGTGCATCTTACAATACATTATCTAGACCATCCATTTTTAAAATTTTCATATGTTTATAGATCTACTTGATTTTAACCATTTTTGGAGTTTAAAGTTTTATAGTTAGATATAAAAATAGATTTTAAGATAATCCTAAGGATATTTTTACATCAAAATTATATGTTATGATCAAATTTGAAGGTGCGCCTTAATTGGATTGTTTAAGGTTGCAACCTTATGGAAAC